GACCGAGACCGGGACCGAGAACGAGAGCGCACCAGGGAGCGGGAGCGGGAGCGAGACCACAGCCCTACACCCAGCGTTTTTAACAGGTGTGTGGGGTCCCGAGCCTAGACACGTCTGTTTAACCGGCAGTTTAGAATTTCTGTTTAGTACAAGTGGGGAAACTCAGTTTCATTTGAAAGGGATGCTTGAAGAGCTCTTGGGAAAGCCGTCAGTGTCACTTATTGTCAGTTGATTGCAACTCCAGCAGCCTAATAGGCCAGAATAGAGCCGTCCTTGTGGGCTTCTGAGACTGCGGATCTTTGTTAGAGCAGAAAGCCTCATCTTTCTCCCATGGAGCAGCCTGATAGGTTTGAACCTCTGCCCTTGTTGTGAGCAACCCCCACAGCATAACCCTACATGCCATCAAGGCTCCTAGAGGCCCTGCATTACAGAAACAACTGTCAAACTTATTTTTACATCTAAGTAGTTGAATCTCTTACTTGGCTATCTAAAAATTTTTATCCGAAATACAAATAGTTTAAAAATAGGAGTTTCAATATATTTTTTAAAAGCTAGTGAGTTAAAGAAAAATAATCACTTTTAAATCCAGTGGTTAAGAACATCATGATGTACGATATGCTAACATACAATTTAAAAAAAATGCATCAGCAGGCTTTGTTTGATTTTAGGAAACTTTATGTTTCTTTTTGTCCTTAAGATTGAAAACCAACACCAACAAAAATGAGAGGGTTTACTGAGTAACAAGTTCTTTCAAAGAAGCAAATGATTACAACAAAATTGCGTTGATGAATTGACAACCAAACAAAACCAAAGATTTTTTTAAAAAAAGATAGCCTTTTAACCTTATGTATATCAAATGTTTATTTACATTCAAACCTTTGAGCTATATATTTCCCTCACTTCATTAATGGAAAAATAGCTGCTGTGTAATTTAATTGCTAAGGGACAGTTCTCATTCTCAAACCAGGTAGCCAAATCATATTCAGGTTTAATTGCCTTGCTTCCGTAATTGAGTTGTTCAGTCTAAGATCAACAGGATGGTCAATGGCCTGAAATATTGTGCGACCATTCACCAGTGTGTTTGGCTTGCTCACTTACAAGACTTAACTTGAGAAGGCTGTGTGTTTACTTTTTTTTACTAGTTTAGGGAAAGAAAAGAAGTTGGGACTTGTTAACTCCCACCATCTTATGCTACAATAGATCTGAACTTAGAATATCCCAGAATTTCATGTTCCATTCGTTGTCCTTAGCAGAAACACCTGTGAGACAGGGAAAGACAAATAGTCTTATAGGGCAGTCAGTAAAATAGGTTTCACTGATACTAATATTTTAAATTAGATCTTTTTGCCACCATGGTGATTTTTATACCATCAGCCAATGAACTTTGCTAAAATGGATGAGGGGAGCATCTTTCTTTAGTAGAGGGAAAGTATGCGGGTGGTGAGAGAAGTCACTTGGTGAACTGGTGAGAGAGATGTTGTACTTGCAACTTCAAGTGGGAGAAAGGACAAATATAAGAGCTGAAGATCTGGAGTTGGTGATCCCAGGCATTCTGTGACATTGTGAAGACCTTGCGTCCTTCTGAAATACTAACATTTACTGCTCACTTTCCCACGTTCTCACCGGAACTTCCTCCCAAACCAAGAGGCCTTATGTTCCAGCTGCGCAGGAAACGCTCCACGGTTTACTTCTTGGCTTAAGCTGTTGTTTGCCTCACAAACTTGCTTCCATTCCTCAAGGTCCAGTTCATATCCCAGCTTCTGAGCTTCTATGAGCCTGATTAACTTTCTTCCTGTGTTCCCTGAGTGTTGTATGCTCAGCCCTCTAGACCTTCTGAAAGGGCACTTTTCACTTCTGTTTGCTCAGCACTTTCAGTGCCGGGCACTTAAGACAGATGTCTAACTCAGTACATAACTTACACACTTAATTTTGGGGGGATAATTTAGAACACTAGGTTTTGAAAACTGTTAGTGAAACTTCATTGTAGTACAACTATCAGCTCCCATAAAGATTTACAAAAGCGTTGGAAACCCTATATAGGGTCCCAATGAGTTGGAATTGACTTGGAGGCACTGGGTAAGAGTTAAGATAGTTTTTTAAAAGGATACACATAATCACCATCATCAGCATGTTAATTTGTGCATCTTAATAGCATTCTAGCCAAGTAGAATAAAATTAGTTCAAGCTGACTTTTATGCCAGCTAATTTCACAGGTGAGGTATAGAAATGTGAGGTAGGTAAGACAGTTTTGTGACTGTCCTGCATGAAATGAAAGTAGTATATTGCCAGGGTATGAGCCATCTCCCCAATTCAGGCAGCATATCGATGCAATCTTATACCTCTCAAGGAAAAAGATCTTTAAAGGTTATTGTATCTAAATCTTGACGTGAAATGGAAGCATAGAGAAATTAATGATAAAGCTGTGTACCATGTACTAAAGCTTGCAACGTGACTTAAAGCTCTTTCTAGCCTGAAAGTAGTTTTAAGACGTTGTTCTTTTCTTTCTCATCCCACAGCATGAGCTTGACCTTTAAAGCACAAAACAAAACCCCTTTATTTGTTAACCAGTGTTTTCTGAGCTCTTTCATATACCAGGGGTCCTGATGGCATAGTGGGTTATACATTGGACTGCTTATCTGCAAGGTCAGCAGTTGAAACCACTAGCTGCTCTGATGGAGAAAGAGAAGGCTTTCTATCCCCATAAAGATTTATAGTCTGGAAACCACAGTGGCATGAACTTGGGCTTTTTTGGTTTGGTTTGGTTTGTTGGTGAATTTGTTTACTTTCAAGCTAGCTAGTGGTATGGTGGTGGCTGGCTTAAAACTGTACCCTACAAAGACTGTACAAGAAGAAGCCAAATAGGAATTAGTAGTCTTTTCTTCTTTCCTGTAGCTCCTCTTTATACATTGTAGGCATTTAACAACATGTTAATAATCAGATAAGGTAATAATATGGTTGTGTTTGTGTGTATGAGTGCAGTTTTTGTGTTAATATATGTGCTATTTAGCTGCTTAAATGTATGGTTCTGGTATTTTCAAGGTCATTACTACATCTATAGGCATTACTTTCCAGAAAGATGAATTGTTATTGACAGTCTCTACAATGTGCATATTCACAAAGAATTTTGGTCCTAAACTCACAGAGAAGACAAACCTGGGTTGCTTTGCTAGAAATGATGAATTTGGATATAAATTATATAGCATTTGTAAGTTTGAGGCTGCATTCTCTGATTTATCCATTTAAAGCACACATACACAAATGCCATGTAACCATTACAGAAACAAGAGTATTAATGGCCGGGCCAGGCTTGGTTTTAGGGTGGTTGCATTACAGGCCAGAGGGAGTCAGCACTTACCTGAATCTGATGGAAAGTTGAACGACAAGGAGGCAAGACACTGAAGGAATTTGTGTTTAAATGACCCCAGCAATGAAGTGGAGTCCGAGTAATCCAAATGTAGGATAAGAAGAGGTTGGCTTTTTCCCTGAAGACTGACGTTTTTACAATATGGCATGTAGTATGTGTTGTGTTACAAATTACAGGGTCATTGTTTTGAAAATTGCAGACCAGTTTCAACATCTGTTTTTTAGGCAACTTAATTGTGGGCCCGAAAGAAGGCAGTCATTCTAGGGTGTTTGAAATGAGCTCTAATGATTTCCAGGCCCAGAGAAACCTTTGTGCTGCTGCTGCCGCCAGGGAGGGGGAGGGGTGGGGGCATGGCCGTAGATTTTGTGTGCGGGACTGAATCCTCCACCATCTGTAGAAGGTTCGTACCACATGGCTCCCTTCAGAATTGGAAGGCCCCAAAGCTAACAAGAGTTGATTTTAGAGTGAGAAGGGACGGAGCGTTACAAATGACAAATTATGAGATGACTGGCCTTACTGTTTTTTTGTGTAAATCCAGATCCAGTCATTCTGAGGGTCTTTACTGCTTAGAAGAGGTAGCTCTAATACTCATTGGCTATGTCTGGGGCTGGCTCTTCCACTTGAGATGCAGAGTAACTTTACCACAAAACAAGACCATTCTTTTGAAAGAGTAAGTACTCAGTTCACTGAAGAGATCTTGCCTGCATGATGACAGCCATTGGACCACTTTTCTTGTACCAAGCACTTTATAAATTTTATCACCAGGACTAACAGTTGCCTCCAAAGGAGTGCTGTCCATTTTGCAGGGGAGCAAACAGGTTCAGAGGGGTTTAGGAGTTTAACCTTGGCAAAATCTTGAGGTACTCAGCCTGTGCTTGATACTACTAGTCAACAACACACACACACACCCCAACCCCGCCCCCAATAAAACATTAACAAAACCTTAATGTGTCCCAGGCAACACTAATCCCAGCGCTTGGTGAGCAGTGTGCCTGGCATTCAGTGTAGCATCACGGCACCCTTCCTTGCTCTTGCTCTAGGAGACCATGGTGTGTAGTATTAAGACATCTTCCTCTTCCCAGTCAGACTCCTTCACTGACTGATGTTTTATGGAAACTGCCAGTTTAGTCGTTTGTGTTAAGCATAAATCTAGAAACAAAATCTCTTCAGCACATAGGGTTCTCTGAAAGATCGTTTTAGTCATTCTAAGGGAGAGGGTGGTGATGTTGGGTTGCTTTTGAACAAATGGAGGACTGGGAGGCTGGAGAGAGGCTGCTGGTGTTGGCATACACAGGGCAGGCCTGCAGAGGCACACTGCCTACCGCTGCCTCAAGCGCAGCCCTTGCTTTGCCTGCTTGTGAACTTTGGTCCAAAACAGAGGCGCAACTTTGATTTACATATTTGAATTTACTCACATTAGCATTGCATTACTTTGATCACAAAATGTTACTGTGCGTTGACAGTTTTGTATTATTGGAAGCCTGTTTTTCTATTGGTCCAGTCCTGTGGGGAGTGGCAGAGTGCAAGGAGAACGAGAGACAAGAATGAAGGGTAGGGAGTCTCAGGGTCCTCTCCTCTGTTGATCCAGCGCCTCACTCCAACTCTCACTCACGGCCATCCATTTGATTCCGTCTCATAGCAACCCCTTCCAAGACTAACTCTTTACAGGAGCTGGGAGCCTCATCCTTAGCCCACAGAGTGGCCGTGGGTTCAAACTGCTGAGCTTGCAGTTACCAGCTCAGTGCATAAACCTACAATGCCATCGACGCGCCTTTGGCTCCTTAGTGAGGTTTCAAATCGACCAAATGCTTTTTTACACAGCTGTGTGGACTATATGTTTCCTGTGTCATTTATTTATAAACTAGTGAGATGGATGCCTGAGCATGGACAGTAACTTCCTCTGTACCACTGTCATACCAACTGAAAAATTGTCTCCTTGTTTTGGCAACTACAGAGATGGGCTTGGGTTCATGAATTCATAATTTTATTCGATTTCTAAGATTCCATCCCTGCGGATTGGAAACTGTATGTGGATGAAGGAAAGTCCATGCGAGCAAGTTCACAGTTGCTATTTCTTATTTCTGAAGGAAGGGGAGCAAACTTTTATTTGATTGAAATGCAAGAAGTCCATGCGAGCAAGCCTCCTCGGCCATCAGAACAATGACTAGAGATGGTATAATCTGAGGTTGTCTAATTGCAAAGGCAGTTTGTCTGTCTACATGTACCGGATATGTACAATAAAGTTGAATATTTAAGGTAATGAAAAAAAATAATCTGTCATCTGATTATACAAAGTTTAGATTTTTTTAATAAGGCAAGGAATGTAATAACCCCTTTAAATATAATAGCTCCTGTGAGACAACACCAGTATGTACCTAGATTCATAGAAATAAACTTGGTGCCGGTGAGTTGATCTGACTCTCAGTGCTCCAGTAGCAGTAGAGCCACTGCCCAGGTTGCTGGGCTGCACATCTTCAGGGAGGAAGGCTGCCCTCTCTTCCCTTGGAATGGCTGGTGGGTGTGAGCCTCTGCACACGCAGGCTCTGGGCCCCTTTGTACTTGAAACAGCCCCTGATGATAGAGTATGCAGTGTGTTCAGTGATGGGTAGTTCATTTGATGATGATTCTCTGTTTAGCACTTTATTTCAGAGCCAAATACTTTGTAGAATATAGTGAATCTTGTCCGGGGCTCAAAGCTATATCAACTTTTACAAAATCCTAATCTGTGCCTTAGAGAACCTTTTTAAAAATTATTTATCAAGTAGACACCCTCCCTCCCCTAATATGCCTTAAGATAGAACCTGTCATAACTCTTTTTTTTTTTTTTTTAAATTCCCATCATACTAGCTCTTCAGTTTAACTCAGGTTCTTTCCTTTCAAATTAGGAAGGTTTTCTGAAAGTTCGCTCTCTCTTCTCTGGATCCCTTCAGTGTTTGTACCTAGACTGTGCACTCAGTCCGTCTCCCCTTTGATGCTCTGTGCCTCACGCTGGGGGCTGGGGCCAGTTTGTGTCTCCTGCCCTGAGAGCCGAGCTCAGGGCGTGGCACATCCTTGTCAAGGACGTGTCTCTGCTCCCTGGACACTCTGTGGCGCAGGCGTAGTAACCAAACCCTCAGACGGCCTCTTGACGTTAGTACTGTACACGCCTTGGTTAATGAGACCATGGTGAGGGGTTAAATAGCTTGCCATGGACCACACAGCTAGTGATTGGCAGAGTCAATATGAAAACGTTTGGTGGCTGTCCAGCGGTCAGTTTTCATAGAAACCCTCCACCCTGCACTGAAAGGTTTGCTAATGTGGCTGAAGACAGCCCGCAATAGAAGGCGTCCATCTTCCTGGTCTCTGAACCACACTAAAATGTATTTCCGTCATCAAATTTCAGTCTACTTCCTAACACTACAGTAATCAAGAAAACCCATTTCTGTTACACGTGCAGCGATGAAGAGCGGTACCGATACCGGGAATACGCAGAACGAGGGTACGAGCGCCACCGAGCCAGCCGCGAGAAAGAAGAGCGACACCGAGAGCGGCGGCACCGCGAGAAGGAGGAGACCAGGCACAAGTCTTCGCGCAGGTCAGCCCCCCACCCCACCCCCCACCCCCAAGAGGGTCTCTCCCTTTGCAGCGCTTGTGCCTAGTTGGGGAGTCAGACGGCCAATACTAGGGTTTGACAGAGGCTCTTAAAACCAGTGAGCTTGGAATATAAAATAATACATTGACCTCATCGGGAAGAGAGGGATTTTGGCATCTGAATTATTCTTTAATAGTAAATATTAAGCAAAGCAGTGTTCTCTCGGTACAAGTAACAGGTCTTGTATTCATTAAAAAAAAAACTAATCCCTGTAAACAATTTCCTATTCCGGTTTAGCATTTCTGTTTCTCATATGTAATTAGACTTTGAGAATATAGCAGATGGGTAGGTGAAGGAGAACTTTGAAAGTGAATATACAAATCACCGCCCAAAACATGCTTGTTAGGAAAAGAGTGAAGTAAACCATTCAAAGCTGGCTGATTACCTTATATGTACTCGTGTACAAGCTGAGTTTTTCAGCACATTTTTATGCCGTTTTTGTGGTAGAATTAGGTGCCTCGGCTGATATTCACGTCAGCTTATACTCGAGTATATACCGTAGTTTATGAAGCCATCTAGAGTAGGAGTCAGCAAATTTTTGAGATGCAAGAGCCAATCCTGCCCCTCACAAACTTTTAAAAATTATTTAGAGCCATAAATACATTTTTACAAACAAATCACCATTATCTGAAAATGAAACGGTTGGGTTTATTGCCAATATTTCTACACAGCCACTTGTACGTGCGTGACTCACAAGCTGCAGTTAGGGTCTACTCTGGACCATAGGTTTGTAAACTTAGGGGACCCATAGCTCCTTTCAGAAGAAAATGTTGTTCAGCAACCCCCTGTCACCCAGATAAAGTGTGGGTATCCGCCTTCGCAGTCCCAGACCCCACCGGGCCATTCCAGCACCCTCCTGGGGGTGGCGGTAACACTGGACTAGACAAAGTGTGTTGTTTTTTGTCATGACCTGTGCACGGAAACAGTTTTAACAGAACCTTTTCCCCCCAGTAATAGTAGACGCCGCCATGAGAGTGAAGAAGGAGACAGTCACAGGAGACATAAGCACAAAAAATCAAAACGAAGCAAAGAAGGAAAGGAAGCGGGTAGCGAGCCTGCCCCAGAGCAGGAGAGCAGCGAAGCCGCCCCCGCGGAGTAGATGCGCCCCAGGCCTTCTGTGTCCATTAGTGCCGCAAGTAGAGTCTGTAAATCCTGGTATTTTTCTGGATAATGTTAAAGAAATTTGCCTTTAATCTTGTTCTGTTAGTATAAAAAGTTAATTTTTCCCCAAAATAAAAGTGAATTTTTCATGTTAAGTTAAAATTTTTTTGTCTCGTAATATTTAAAAAATAAAAAGATAGGAATGACATAATATTCAAGAAAGTGTAATATGAATGAGTCACTCAGCAAGGAAGTGGGAAAAACTGTTTAGCTCTGTCACGTGAAAAATAGTTTATTATATACAGTATCTCAATAAAGGGCTGGGCTTTTCCTTGGACATAATTTACATGGGGTAATTGAAAATTGGTCTCCTTAAATGGTTGTAAAAGATGACCAGGTAACCCCTGGAGTCTCGAGAGTAAAGTAGTCTTTATCTTGCGTAGCATAATGAAAGGGTTTGTACACATTTTTATATCACAACTTTTCCATAGGTTTTGGGGTATTTGAAATTTGGGTTTCTGGGTACACTACATGGGGCACTTATATCCAAAATAAGCCAATAAGGCATTTGGTGGTCTTGTGTGAGGTAACGCTTCCTTGTTATTTCGAGGAGGCACATGTAAGAACACTGGCCACTGGGAGACAAATAGGAATTGCCTCGTGGCCATCCGTAGTGAAGCTTATTGGACCTGCCTAAGCTTGTTGCTAGACCATCATGTGGTATTGGTGATACAAGCTACAGGGTGAAGACAAAGTAACTTAGGGCAAGTGCTTTAGTAAATCAGTCTTTTCTTATTAAAGCTAAGAAAATGGAAGTTTATAATTCTATAAGCCTTTGTTTTAAGGATAACCCTAGGAAAAATGTGTGTCTGTACTTGAGAGAATGAAGTAGCTAGGATCTTTTTAAAAAAAATAATGACAGTAGAAATGAGGATCACATACTAAAGACAGTTATAATTTTTGAAAAATATTTATTCTCCTTGAACATTTCTTAATACACTTTTAAAATCCTCTGACTTTTAAGTTTTTAAATGCCCATCATGTGCCCATTGTAGACTTCAGCATTAATTTAATTGTATGATTTTAATTCACCGGGGCATGTAAACCCTGCCAGCGAATTCAGGGCGTTCTATTGAATAGAAAAATATAAACATAAGGTTGTGGAGTAATGAAATCCCTGACAATAAAAACATAGGGGTAGTTTTCATTTTTGAGACTTACTTACATTGAGGTGTAATTGGCTTTCATGAGATCATACTTTTCCCGACATTAATGTGTACATTTTTACAGTGTATTCTTTAAATATAAAAATTGACAAGATAAATACTTGGTTTCCACCTAATTATCCTATTTGTGATTTTCTGTTTGTCTATCACGCTGTTGATTCTATAAAAAAGTGCCAGGCCAAGAAACAATAGTGAGAGTAATTCTTCCTTTAAGTTCTTTGAGCATCCTTGCCAAGCAAGCATGTACCATTCCCGATGTGCTTCTGCCGTTGACAGCAAGGAGAATATCACCACATCTGAAAAGGGACAAAACGAGGTGTAAGATCTTAGTCCAGAGCTGACGTGAACGCAAGTGGGTTCTGATGGCTCTAGTTTCGCTGCATCTGCCCATTTTAGTGACATAACTTATCAGTAAGGGTCCCCGCTCCCTCCTCACTTAAACTCCTCAGCTTCCCCTCACCCTCCACCTCTCCCCTGAGCTGCCATTAGAATGGCTGCTAAAAGCATAAAGTAAATGTCATCATTTGGTATTTATTAAAGGTTGAATGCTATGCAAGTGTTTTTAATTTCATACACACAATAAATAGAAAAACATTTATGGAGAGAAGTCTTCCACTTTTAATAGAAGTTATCTCTCCACTTTTTGCAGGTTATCTTTTTTTTTTTTTCCCCCGTAGTTTACATGTCTGGCTTTAAAGAGGCCAGGCTTTTTGCATATATGAAACAAAATATGAACATGTAGATTGATTTCTTGTTCGATAGTCATCCTGATTACCTGATTCTGCCATCGTGGTATGCTGGCGTCCCTTCAACAATGGACTTAATAAAAAAAGGTTTGTTCCCCCTGTGTTCTTCGTAGCCTCCGACAATGCAGAAGCCCAGACTTCCAGCTGTGTTCCTCCGTAACACAATGTCTTTACAGCTGTACAGGTTTCTGAAGCAGAAGGTAATTGGGAGATATGCACAGTTAAGTGTAACTTAGTGAATAATTGTAATTCCTTTCCCATTTTTTTATTGGCCTTTTTTTTTTTTAAGCCTCCGGGGTCTCATTCAGAATTGTGTCACAGCTGTTGACCTTTGTGTTATTTGCTGCCTCTGTTTTTCATAGTTCAACAGTCATTTAAAAAGAACACCACCACCTGTTGTTTATACTTCTGAGAAAGATAAATCCTATTTTTGTTTCAAATAAGATAGTCCCTCAACTTGTATGAGCGAAGAGTTGGAGATAAGTAAATCCTCCTTAATAGGTTAATTTCAAGCATATTTTTGAATTTTGTATTTTGGTGTAATTTTGAATGAAAACAAAGATCATATGAATTAAATAATTTACCTCAATGAAAATAATTTAAAATTTAGCCCTAATTGATTTGTAAAGCTTCTTTTAACCTTTGAGGACCAATCAGTTTATGTATAGTCTTCAATGCCCCATAGCTTAGAGGACAGCATGCAGATGTCCAGTGAATGGAAGCTGTGCATTTCAAGATTATGAGGACAAGTCGTATGGGTAAGGGATGGGAAGGTTGCAGAACAGCAAGTTGTAAAAGGAATGGGAGATGAGCAGGCCACCTCGGTCAGAAGAGTCAAGGAGGAGACTCCTCAGCTACACTGGAGAGCCAGATGGAGGATGCCTATTCTTGGAATTCAGTGGATCTGTGTTGGCGGAGGTGCAGGCACAGTGAGACTCACAGTGAGAACAGAGATGTGTTGGGGGCTGGGTGAACTCAAGGCCCTTGCCCATGCTGTGGGGCATTCTAGTGGAGAAGCTTCTGTGGGCAAATAGAATTTTCATGTTGATACAAATCAAGATATGGCTGTTTGTTTTATAAACTGTACCTTTAATACTCATTAACTGCTTTTTAAAAAAAACAATAAAAAGTCTTGTGAAGTGTTTTGCTAAGTCATTGTGTTTGTTACCAACCTTGCTACCATGACTGTCCAGGTTACATGATGTTGCTGTCTACCCACTTGCAATAGAACAAACTGGGCTCACGTGATGACTGCCTTTAAAATGTAGTTCTAAATGTCAACTATGTCTATAGTTGTGTATTGTATCCACAGTCAGGTAGACACAAAGTTTACTACAACAGTCATTTTCATCCAGGAAAATGATAACTTTCAGTGACAATGTCATTAAATGACACTGCATGTTTTTCTTCTGAAATACTCATCTGATGAATTTCACATGGAGACCCCACTATAATAGTTCCCTGACTGCTCCTTCACAGAGCAAGTAATTGATTCCCAGACACTAGAGCATTGCACTCCGGGGGATGGGCTGGCGCGTGACACACTACACTGTGTTCCATTTCAGGGTGAAAGGAGAGAATAAGGTTTTCACTCAAGGTTACAATCAAATACCTGCCTTAACATTACCCGGTCTTGATTTTTAAAAAAGAAATACATATTTGGGTAGATAGAACAATACTTAAAACTGGTTGTCATTGCTTCCCGTCTTTTTAACCATTTAAGTGTATTTCATTACAATCGAGTATTTCATATGAACAGACTGTACACTTGCCTATCTAAAGTATCCACATTCCAGTTATAAGTATTCAATATAACAGTCACCAAACCAAAACCCAAACTCACTGCCATAGAGTTCATTTCGATTCATAGGGATACTGGAGGACAGGTAGAATGTGGCTAATTTCCTACACCAATGTTTAAATCGTGCACTTAGCTGCCGCCTAACGTCCATAGGCCACATCTGACTACATTTTAAATCCATAGTTTCAGGCTCTATGAAAGTCTATGACATTAACATTTTGAGGTCCATACAATAGTTTGTAATAGTGCTACTTAGTGACGTGTCAAAACATTGCTAGATCATGTTAAAGACATTTAAGGGTTATCTGGGAGTATTTCTTAAAATATTTTTAATGCATAGAAAGGTACTTAATATATGAAAGGATTCTAAGTCTTGTAGAAAATAATCTATTTTTTAATCCCATTTTTCTTTGGAATTTGAAGCCTCTGAGGCCTGTATGTCCTCTTGCAACAAATATTTGTTTATAGAAGAACTTCCCTACACATCTAACTGGAAGATGGGCTTTGAACAGAATTTAGTCTCAATCCAGGAACGGCCTATGTGATGTGGGTACAGAATGCATTGTTGGAGTCGCATACTTTTTGAGTTGGTAATTGAGCCCTGAGCCTTTGAAAGTTTGAGTCCGTGCCACAGGCATACCAGATCATCTGTCAGTAAGTTCATCAGAGATAGAGACTTAAGGTGCATGATAGACGAACATTATTTTACAAAGGCCAGAAACTGTCGTCGGTGTGTGGAAAAGCACTCCAAACTGAACTCGAAAGTAATACAACTGGAGTTTTTCTGTTCCATGGTCGTGGTCTTCTGCTTTCACTTGGCCGTTCTTTGACTCCCTGTGTGTTTAGTTCCCCAGCACTTTTCTCTCCCTACTGAACCTGGCCACTGTTGTTTCCCTGATCTCTCAGACCACTCATGCTCAGACAGTAGTTGTGTTTGCTGCTCCTGGCCTGCAAGCTTGTTCCCACCCTAGGGCTTTTGTGTTAACAGCTCTGCCCAGAATGTTCAGGCAAGCTTCACATGTCACATGGCTGGCTGTTGTTCGTTACTTATGTCACAGATGAACTGTTTTGTCTTCAGAGGCCTTTGTTAACCACTTCTGGTGTGGGAAGATGGGAGGTGGGGATCAGAGTGCAATGATTGAAAGGGAGAGTTAAGCAGTAATGATCAGTAATGAACTGGATGAGGGTCACCAGGACGGGAAACACTACAAAGAAGTAAAAGCATGGGAGAAACTGAAACATGCCTATTGGATTAATCCACACATGGGTCCTTGGTCATCTTAGGAAGAGCAGTTCATGGCAAGGAAGAGAAGTAAGTATTAAGATGCATACTGGATGAGAAAGGCGCTGGACAGAATGAACGATCAAACTTTTGAAGTTACTACACGCAAAGATAAAAGTGTTGAGAGAAGCTCACAACTGTTTTAAACTGCTAGAAACTTGAGAAGAAAGAGGAGAGCCATTGGGGGAAAGACAGGGTGGGGTGGGCAGGAACAAGAGCATCACCTTTAAGAGAGGCAGAGGGTCTCTTTCATGATCACAGGTGGGAATGAGGAAAGCTAGGTAGGGTGGGAGATGTTAAGGAAGGTATAATTTGGTGAAGTACTGAATGCAGTAGATTCTGATAGAGGGGTTGGAGAGTTAAGTTGCAGGGTGTCCATGAGGCATTGCTAGTGTGGAAAATATGAGACTAGAGATGATGAGAAACGCTGGAGGAAACTTGGGCAGCATCGAGGACCCACTTTGAAGCGGCGACTTTGAATTTAAATGATGTCAATTATTTGCTATCTTTCCACAGTGCCCTGAGGCCCAGAGGTAGACTTGGAGGAAATGCCTACCCTGGGGACTGTCATTTTGCCAGGCTAACAGCCCAGTGGCAATGGACTAACAAAGTGGGAGAGTAATTTTAGAAAATAGAAAAAAAACAAAAAACATTTTTAAGTGATGGCTCAGGGGCCCTTAGAGAACTGGGATGGAAGTTAGACAGGAGGTTGAAGGGAAAAGTCGAACATGTGGATGAGGTTCTGGAAGGGTAGGAGGCTTAATGAACATCTGGCTTTAGAGTTCAAAGGGAGATGACCACTTTGGGCTGATCCCATAGAGAATGACTGAAATACTATCTCTTAAAATTGGATCCTCTCCACATTGCTTATCCAGCCTGTCTCATCTAGACAGACGTGCAGAGATAATAATATGCTCATAAAACTGCGGACGGCCTCCACAGCACCAAAGTAGCACAGAAAACGAAGAAAACTGCGTGCAGATGGCCTCGACAGCACCAAACAAAGTAGCACATAAAAACAATGGGACCAATGGTGTAGGGGGACATGGGAGAGTGCAAGGTGGGGGAAGGGAAGAGGTGTTGCTCAACCCAGGGACAAGGGAACAACGAGTGGTTCAAAACCAGTGGCAGGGAAGGGGTGGGAGGACTGGTAAGGAGTGATCAAGGGCAATATAACAGGAATTACTGAAAACCAAATGAAGGCTGAGCATGGCAGTGGGACAAGAGGAAAGTAAAAGGAAATAGAGGAAAGAAGTAGGAGGCAAAGGGCATATATAGAGGCCTAAATACAGGTATGTACGTATGTAAATATATTTGATTATGGGGGAAATAGATCTATGTGAAAATATTTATAGGTTTAGTAGTAGGGTAGCAGATGGACATTGGGCCTCCACTCACGTACTCCCTCAATACAAGAACACTTTGTTCAACTAAACGGTCATTCCATGATACCCACCTTCCCGACACGATCGCTGAAGACAAATGTGTGAAGGCAAACAAGCGTCCGTCTAGCCCAGAAGCAACAAAGCCTACATGGAAGAAGCACACCAGCCTGTGTGATCACGAGGGTCAAACAGACCAGGTATCAAGCACCAAAGAACAAGAAATCATCATCGTGAATGAGGGGGAGTGCACGATGGGGACCCAATACCCATCTGTAGACAACGACATCCTTTGCAGAGGGGTAGTGGGGAGGAGATGACCGACTCTGATGTAGTTGGCTGGATCCGTTCAGTTGTCGAGGGTTTGGCTGGTGGCTACTAACATTGCACGGATGATTTAGTTGGCGGCAGAATCAGAGTAGGAGGGTACTAGGAGCGCCAGGGAATAGTCAAGAATTGGGGCCACTAATGCAATATTTTGCCACAGTAGGGGAGGATGAGCAGCTACTGGTTGTTTTGCACATGTTGAGATACCAGTAGACTGTCCAAAGTGCAATAAATATGCCTGGAGTGGCTGTTCCCAAAGTTTTTCATGTCAAGTCTCCCATGTCTACTCTCCTAAAAACTTAACTGTAATGATCTCAAAGAGCATATGTTCACAGTCAGGTAAATGATAGCTTATTGTAAAGTAATGAGAAAAATGCCCAAAAGTGTTTGTGTTAC